CCCATCACCAGAGGTATAAAAACACTGGTTTTTGGATTGTTTCGTTTGTTTGTTTTTCAGACAAAGTCTTTCCTTGTTACCCAGGCTAGAGTGAGTGCCGTAGTGTCAGCCTAGCTCACAGCAACCTCAAACTTCTGGGCTGAAGCAATCCTACTGCCTCAGCCTCACGAGTAGCTGGGACTACAGGTATGCACCACCATGCCTGGCTAATTTTTTCTATATGTATTAGTTGGCCAATTAATTGCTTTCTATTTATAGTAGAGACGGGGTCTCGCTCTTGCTCAGGCTGGTTTCTAACACCTGACCTTGAGCAATCCGCCCACCTTGGCCTCTCAGAGTGATAGGATTAACAAGCGTGAGCCGCTGTGCCTGGCCCTGTTTTGTTTGTTTTTTTAAGATACGGAGTCTCTCTGTGTCACCCAGTCTGGAGCTCAATGGTTATGCACAGGCGAGATCCTACTACTGATCAGCAAGGGAGTTTTGAGCTGCTCCCTCTCCAACCTGTGCAGGTTCACCCCTCCTTAGCTACCTGCTGGTCCGGTTCACCATATTGATGCCGAACTTAGGGCAGACACCAGATGGGCATAGCACAACCTCAGCCCAGAACTCCTGGGCTCATGCGATCCTGCTGCCCAGCCTCCTGACTGGGACCACAGTAATGTGCTACCAAGCCCTGCTAAAAGTACTGTTCTTTATAGCCAAGCTCAAGAAATGGTGGCTCATTTTATTATTAATTTAGGGGCTTATGACTCAAGGCAGCCAGAGGGGGAAAGGAACAAACAGAGGCAAGTCACCATGATGGGCTCTAACAAAGTGCTCTCTTTTGAACTGACATGAAAGGGGTGCTGTCTTTGAGGCCTGTGAGGGAGGGGCAAGGAGGTTCCCCTTTAGCAGGACATCAGATGCACCTCTCTTGAGAATCTGCCTGAAAGAGTGACTGGGGTCCATTAATAGGCATTCGTAATATCTAATTTTTGCTCAGGAGATTGGAAGTTCAAAGAGGTTAAGTAATTTGGCCAAGGTCACACTGCAACTGAGCAGCCCAGGGGACAGCCAACTTTAAGCATAGTAAAAGACCAAAAATATTTGACCAGGCACAATGGCTCACAACTGTAATCTCAGCACTTTGGGAGGCCAAGGTGGGAGGATCCCTTGAGCCCAGGAATTCAAGACCTGTCTGGGCAGCATAGTGAAACCCTATCTCTACAAAAAAGAAAGAAAATTAGCCAGCGTGGTGGTGAGCATCCATAGTCTGAGCCACTTGGGAGGATGAGGCAGGTGGATCACTTGAGCCCAGGAGTTTGAGGTTGCAGTGAGCTCTGATGACATCACTACACTCTACCCAGGCAACAGAGACCCTCTCTCTCAAAAAAAAAAAAAAAAAGACTAAAAATACCTACAGACTAAAGAGCATTTTGTTCAGTGGCTCCTAAACTTTATTCAATGAACTTGATAAAACTAAACTGCTTGGGTTGGTTTTTATAACTTGCATTTTAATAAAACCCCTCTGGAAATTCTGATTCAGGGGACAGGGAGGACTGGGGATGGTTATGTCCCACACTCTGGAGAACACCGAGTGGGTTAAAATTCCCGTCCTACTACTTACCCTGTGCCTCATTTTTCATATCTGTAAAAAGGTGGTATTAATACCATGAGGTTATGGTAAGGAACTCCTGGGTTTAATATATTTAATATAATAAACAAGATAATTTAATATATAAAAACAATATACTTAATATATATAATTGCATATTCTTAACATAATAAAGTGCTAAGAACAGTGCATGTCATTAGTAAGTACTACTTAAGTGTTAACTATTTGTTCACCCCTTGCGGTGGAGAACTTGCTGCTTCCCAAGGCAGCACATGCCAACTTTCATCAGCCCTAGGCTACGGCCATTTTCACCACCATGGGCTGGGTGACCACAGCCCTTTCAGTTGGATCTCTACACCCTCGTCCACAGTGTTGACTGAAAAAAATGTTTGGCTTTTCTAGATATAAACTCAAAAAGGCACACCTCTTGGCCACGAGAGACAGCCATGCTTGGTGCTTGGAGGCACTGAGGGGGGATCTGGAGCCCAGTTCCAACCTTGATTCTCCACTGGCTTGTTTTGGCAAGGAGCTTTCTCTCTGGGTCCTCAGGTTCTCTATCTGTTAAGCATGGGTTTGGTGCATTTCACAGTCCCGGGCTGGGTAGTGGTGTACCTGTAGTCCCAGTTACTGAGGCTGAGGCAGGACGATCACTTGAGCCCAGGAGTTCAAATTCAGTCGAATTCAGACTGGGCAACATAATGAGACTCCATCTCCAAAAAAAATGGGGGTGGGAAAAAGTTACTAACCAACCATGGGCCCTTCAGAGCTCTATGATCCTGGAGCACAAAGCAGGATTGCCCAAATCCCCCACACTCCTAAGTCTGGATAATATTTTCATTATTTCTTTTATTTTTCTTTATTTTAAATAGTAGAAACAGGGTCTTGTTCTTGCTCAGGTGGCTCTCGAACTCCTGAGCCCAAGTGATCCTCCGGCCTTGACCTCCCAGAGTGCTAGGATTATAGGTGTGAAGTACCATGTCCGGCCTATATTTTTATTATTTCTGATCCGTGCAGATGGGGTAATTCAAACCCCAGAGAATTAGAAGGAAAAGTGGAGGGGTGTGATACAGGAGCTGGAGAAAGGAAACCCTCCCTTCTCCAAAGCCCCCTTCTGAGTCACCACTCTCGAACCCTTTTGTTCTTCCTACTTCAGCACATCTCTCCTCCAAGCTTCCAGGCTCTTCCACCTCCAGTCCTCAGACCCCTTCGGGGGTCTGTTGTATGTACACAATCCTAAGGTGGGGGTTCCCTGGAACCAAGGACATTTCAGTATTTTGTTCATTGAACCTGTTTCCATTCAGAGTCTTGGGTGTTCCAGACACTATGGGAGGCTCTGGAGTGACAGTGAAGTAATTTAAACAAACAAACAGGTCAACACATAAACAAGCTAGATGATTTCAGAGACTATATTGGTCAGAGCTATAAAGGTTAGAAATCAGTGTAGGGTGACAGATCCTGACACAGGGGCTACTTTACATAGAGGGAGGGTCTCCCTTTGGAGGTGATATTTGAGCTGAGACACAGATGGGAAGTGGAGGAGTAGCAAGTACAAAGGCCACCAGAGAAACAAACCCAGTGGGATGAGATTTCAAATTCCAACTTCCCCATTTTCATAAAACCATGGAGAAAGGCTTCTGGGGGAATCCCAGGGGCTTTTTTGGGAGGAGGGGGCCTTCAGTTTTATCCCATAGTGTGATTGGGTGGCGAGGCACCCTCTAGTGGTGACAAGAGTTAAATATCACCTTTCTAACCTGGAATGCCATCAGCTATAAACTAATTCTGTCACTCATTCCTACCTCTCCCACATTTATTCACTCCACAAATATGTACTGAGCAGCAAGTATGTACCAAGGAATATTCTGGATGCTGGGGGTATAGCTGTGAAACTGACGGTAAAGGTCCCTGCCCTGGTGTTGACACCCTAGGGGACAGTTCCTGGCACAGCATTCCACCCTCACTTCACTTCTGCCCCCCACTATTCTGAAGCACAACTGGCCTTCTACTGCTCCATACCCAGACATCCCTGCTTCATGGTCTGCATTTGCAGTTGCCTGGGCCCTGTAAAGCTAGTCCCCAACACTTTGCATTGCTGGCTCAAGTCTCAGCTCAAATATGACTTAGCCAGAAAGGTGTGGACTTACTTGTTTACTGTCTCTCTCCCTGTTCCCCGCCCGCCCCCCATCCACTAAAATATAAGATGCCATGAAGTTTACTGTTTTCCTGGAATTCCTCAAGCTAGCATTTAACAGGTGCTCAGAAGACACCTGCTTAACGGGTTTGAGGGTTCATTCCTTCAAAAAATATTTATCAGATTGGGCGTCATGGCTCACGTCTGTAATCCAAGCACTTTGGGAGGCCCCGAGGGGAGAGGATCACTTTAAGCCTGAAGTTGCAGACCAGCTTGGGCAACACAGTGAGAACCGGAACCGGACTCTACAAAAAATAATTAGCCAGGCATGGTGGTGAGCGCCTGTATTTCCAGCTACCCAGGAGGCTGAGGCAGGAGGATCCCCTCAGCCCAGGAGTTCAAGGCTGCAGAGGCTGCAATGGAGCTATCATTGCGCCACTATGCTCCAACCTAGGCCACAGCACAAAACTCTATTTCTAAAAAAAAAAAAGGAAAAAAAAAATATATATATACATACACACCAAGTACTAGTCGTCCAATATATGTCAAACCAGCCTGGGGCGGCGGCCAATCCCAGTGAACAGAGGTGAACAAGTGAACAAAACACGAAAAATCTCTGCCCAATAAAAAATACTCCTGCCCCAGAGTATTTTAAAATTAAAATTGCAGCTCCCGCACTACACACCCCCTTTACGCTGCTTTATTTTTTGTATACATTTAACACCTTCTAAACTATTATAATTTACTCATTGGTGTTTGTGAGCTCCAAGAGGGCACAGCATTTAGTCCGTCTCATTCACCACCCTACCTCAGCGCCTAGAACAATGTTGGCACCCAGTAGGCGCTAAATAAACAGACACAATGAACTCTAGACCTCAGCCCGCTCTTTTTCCTACAGACCTTGCGCCACCTTGCTCCAAAGGGGAAATGGGTCTCAGGAGGCGCCCAGGGGTGACCCCAGGCGGCCCGACCCAGGAGTCCGAGCTCCGGGAGCAGGGCCAGCGGAGCAGCTGTGGAGATGGGAGGCGCCGGGAGCGGGAGCGCGGCCAGCCGGGGGCAGTGGGGCACTTCCAGGAAGGGGCGCGGGCGCGCGGGGGACTGTGGGCGGTGCTGTCTGAGGAGGCTGGTCACATGACTCGCGCCGACACCGCCTACCTCCCGGTAGGCGGGGCGTGCAAGTGGGCGGGGCGCATGCAAACCAGCCGGGGCGGCGGCCAATCGCGGCGCGCGCCCAGTCTAGGCGGGTCGCTGGCCCGCGCAGGCTCGCGTCCGGGCTGCCTGGGGCTGTGGCGAGCGGCGTCGCGGGCCTACGGGCTGGGGCTGCGGGCGCTTCCTGACCTCCTAGGTGTGTGCCGGTGGCCGGCGACGTCGGGCCTGCGTGGGGGCCGGCGGCGGCTGCCTCCGGCGGAGGCGGAGGTGCGGCGGGCAGCCTTCGCGGGCGCCCGGGCCGGCCCGCGCCTTTGCAGCGTGCCCCATGCATCCGGAGCCCGCCCCGCCCCCGAGCAGCAGCAGCCCCGAGCTTCCCCTCAGCGGCGGCAGCACCACCAGCGGCAGCCGCCGGAGCCGCCGCCGCAGCGGGGACGGGGAGCCCCCGGGGTCCCCGCCGCCGCCGCCCGCCGTCACCTACCCGGAGTGGATCGGCCAGACTTACTCCGAGGTGATGAGCCTCAACGAGCACTCCATGCAGGCGCTGTCCTGGCGCAAGCTCTACTTGAGCCGCGCCAAGCTCAAAGCCTCCAGCCGGACCTCGGCTCTGCTCTCCGGCTTCGCCATGGTGAGCTCGGGACGCCTGCCCTCCCCCCTCCTGTCCTGACCGCTCCCGCCGGGGGCCACTGGGGAGCAGACCGGGCTGGCCTGGAGTGAGGGGAAGAGCTGGGGACGCTGTCGTGGGCGCTGGAAGGGGGCCAGAGGTGCTGGACAGACAAGAGCTGAGGTGGGAGACAGGTGCCTGCATGTGGACACTGCAGCAAGGGGAGAGGAACACAGCAAGAACTATGCACTCCCAAAGTTAGATCTGTCAGCCAGTCCCACATGTGTTTGGGGCGGGGGGAGGAAGGACTCAAAGGGTCTGACCCATCTGGGGACAGGTGTCAGGAGGTAGGGATGAAGAGAGAGACCACAGAGCTGTCTGGTGCCCCCCACACCTGAAGCCTGAAGGTATTGGCCACATTCTTTTACCAGCTAGTGAAGGGGATTTCCTGACACCCTTTTTCCACTGCATGTTCAGAGAGCCTCGGCCTGGGGGTTTGCAACTGCTCCCCGCCCTCATTTTCTTCTCCAGAAACGTGCCACTGAGTCACTGGGTGTGGGGGAGGAGGGTGGGACATGTTCCAGTTGAATGGGCTCTTTCTTGATTTAGGGGGTAGGCATATTTTTCCTCCCCCCACGTCCCAAGGGGCTGGAGTAAAAGCCTCTGAGGGGTGGGGTGAATGAGGCTGCAGGTTGGGCCCAGAAGTGGCTGTGGAGATACCTTCAGGCCTGAATTTTGGAGTCTCTCTGGGGCCGGGCACTGCATAATAAGTACATTATTATCACTTTTGGTGACATCAGCCTACATGAATGGCGTCTGCCCCCTTCTCCCCAGTTCTGTAGCCCAGAACACTCCTGCCTCCATCCTATGTGAGCTAAGCCTTGAGGGAGGGAGTGGCTGCACCCTTCGTGTTTTCTTGGGAAGGGAGTGTGTCTGGGACTCTCCCTGTGTTCCACAAACAAGCAGCCGAGTGCAGCAGAGCCTGAATTGTTTTAGAGACCTCTAGGGCTCAGTGGGAAGGCCAGATTGGGGGTCAGGCTCTGCCACTTGCTATCTCTGTGACCTCAGGCAAATCACTCTCCCTTTCTGGGCCTTGATTTCTGAATCAGTAACTAAAGGCTGCTACTCAAAAGTTTGTCAGACTTGGAAAATGAAACCGAGGAAGCCCCTAAAAGGAGATCAGAGAGAGACTGTATGTGTGTATAGGGGTAGCACCCTACTTTTCAGTTTAGATATGATGGGATTCTGTTCTATCCGTCCCAAATCCTAAGAAACCAATCTCTGCCTTGTGCCTGAACAACCTGTGAGAACACCTGACGTTTACCAAACACTCGCTACGTGCTAGGCACTCACTGTGTAGGTTCCCTAAATTCCAGGCTCAGCCCTTTGAGGTGATTTTGTCAGAGGACTTTCCCAAGGCCACACAGCTCATCTGGTAGAGCTGAATTTGAACCCAGGTCTGCCGGCATCCAGAACTTGCTTAGGCACTTGTGCCATTTTTGGTTATGGAGCTCTGATCAATGTCCAGCCAAGGACATGTTAGGACCAGGCCTAGACAATGAGAAATAGAGCAAAAAAGTTTCTTCTAAGCCAAGGAAAGTTTTACAACTTGAGGGGAGGGAGACACCAGTTGTTAGCTTTTCATTGCACTTCTGGGGTTTAAGATGGTGACCATTCCTTTTTCTTTTCTTTTCTTTTTTTTTTTTTTTTGAGATAGGATATTGCTCAGTCACCCAGGCTGGAGTGCAGTGGCCTCATCATAGCTCGCTGCAACCTCGAACTCCTGGGCTCAAGCGATCCTCCTGCCAAAGTGTTAGGATTACAGGCTGGAGCCTGGCCCATTCCCCTTTTTTTTGTGCTCATGATTTCATGGCTGCCCCAGGCCCCTTCCCACCCTTAAGAGGTAAGGATCCAAATGGGTGACACCTTCCTGCCTTTTCAAGAACTTTCTTCCTCCCAAACAAGGCAGGCCTCATAGTCAAATAGCACCTCCTTCTTCCTCTTGCTAAAAGCAGTGTGGGGAAGTCAGGAGGCTGAGGCAGCCAGTGGCAATGGGTGGGCCTTTGCTTACCCAGTCGGTCTCTTGGGGACCTTCATTTCTCTTTCCTGAGCAGAAAAGGCTTCCTGGCTCTGCTGATGGAATCTCCAAAGTTGTGCAGGCAGGGAAGGGCTGAACCTCATGACAGCCTCCATTCTGGGGCAGTGGTTAAGAGAGGGTAACCACCTTTGCCGTGAAGCTGGAAATCTATGGAAGAGAGGGGGTGGGGGTCAGCAGGGCAGGTCTGACCATGCCCCACCCCCACCACAGACACTCAGTCTGTGAGTGTGCTTCAGAGAGGAAGGGGTGCCAGGCAGCCCCAATGCCATGGCAACAGAGTGACAAGTTTCCTGGAGTACTCTCCTTTGGCCTGTGAGTCAGCACAACCAACTTCCTGCCCCCAGAAGGCTTCCTTCCCTGGAAACCCAGAGGAGCTGCCATGACCTTTGCTCTCCAGGGGGGTGGGAGGGTTGCCGAAGGTACCAGTCTCACCTGGCTCACCAGGTGTGATTGAAAGAGAGTCTCCCCAAATGCCTGGAGGGGAGTGAGAGGTTCCCCACTTCCTGGGTAGAAGAGCCTGGCCAGGTGTTCATGAAGTGTTGGGCATAGGCCGTGGGACCCCCGGCAAGTGGCTTTACTTCTTTGAGGCCGGTTTCCTCATGCGCAGAAAGATGGCAAAGACCCTGCTCTGCCAGGGACTGGCATGCAGACTCATTAGGCCAGACTGGGCCCGTGAAGCATTTAGGGATTTTCACGATCTGTTGATGTATACCTTGGCCAGACCCTCTGTGGTCTGCAGATGAGATTCTTGCTCCAGATAGTATTTCTGGAGACAGCAGGCCTCAGCTGCGGCAAGCACCCAAACTGGATGTAGCATACGATCAGCATCCTGCAGCGCTCCTTGAGCCTGGTGTACTCCTGTGGGCTTTGATTCAGGCCACCTGTGCCTCAGTTTACCTCTTGGCAAGAGGGAGGCAGCCTCGGCCTGACCCTGTCCCCTGCAGGACTGGCGAGCACACGTGGCGACCCGGTCTGCTGGGGAAGGCAGGCTGTAACATTAGCCTAAGCAGAAGATAATTGGGAAGGTCAGCCTGCTGCCGTAAACAAAATGCTTTCCACGACCTGAGATCAATTATTTTTGGATTATCTGCCTCCTCAAGTTCTCTGCCCACCAGCACCCTTTTGTTCCCAGGTTCCATAGCATGTTCAGAAGTTGCTTGGAATTTCTGTGAAAATGAGTTGGAAGGAAGGGCTCAAATCATAAGACATTATCTGGCCTCTGTGACATGTTCGGAGTGCAGGGGGCATGGAGATGAGCAAGAAATTGCTATTTCTACCCGTAGTACTAATCACTGATCATCATCGTTACTGCTGTTGTTGATTGGGCTCTTGCTGTAGGCTAGACGCTGTGCCACGCAGGCCATCTTGCGTGATTTCCCTAAAACCCCGAGTGAGGGTAGGTTGGTCATCTAGATCAGGCATCTTCAAACTACGGCCCTCGGGCCACATGCCACCCGATGAGGACATTTATCCTGCCTGCCGGGTGTTTTTGCCACCACTGCCTGTCCTGCTTAGTAGCTGACTTATCCTGGGCCCACAGTGCGCACTCTCCAACAGTCTGAGGGGCAGTGAACTGGCTCCCTGTTTACAAAGTTTGAGGACCCCTGATCTAGATGAATGACTTTCCCAGGGCCATCTGGCTGCTAAGCTGCAGAGACCTGTGCCTGTGGTGTAGTCTCATTGCTATGGGAGAGGAAGCATCAGAGAGTGGTAGAACAGAGCTGAGAGGCTCAAATAATAGTAGAACAAAGTAAGAAAACAGACACTTGAGCCAGCCAACTTGGGTTCAAATCCCAGCTCTACCTCTTAGAACTGTGAGACCTTGGGGAAGTCACTAAACCTTTCTGGGCCTCAGTTTCCTCATCTATAAAATGGGGTAATAGTAGTACCAACCTTGTTGTATGAGGATTCATCAAGTTAATATTTGCAGAGCACTTCTCACCCTTGTTCCCAAGGTGTCAGGGCTGCTTTATAAGGGTTAACTGAGTTAGAAGAATCTAATTCTAGCTGAGCCTTGAGGGTGGTGGAGTTCTGACCCTCTGGTCAGAGGAAATGGCAGGAACCATTACAGAGATAAGAAATTACAATATCTGGGGGAAACATAAGGGGCTGGTGTGCCTGGGGTCAAGGGTGTGTAGAGAGTAGTAGAGAAAAATGAATCTAGCCAGGCAAGATGATGGAGGGCCTTGATTAGCTGTTTAGTAAGTTCAAACTCTTGTATCAGCAATAGGGAGCTATTGAAAGTTTTAGACAGAGGAGTTACATTATGAATTCCATAATGATGATGGTGGTGGTTACTATTTACAGAACCCCTGTTGTGCCAGGCATGAGCCTGAACCCTTTTCTTTCTTTCCTACTTAATCCTCACAGTAGTTCTTAAAAGTATGTACTGTGGACAGGAAACCTGAGCCTAGAGGTTCTTAGAGGCTCAGATCACCCAGCCAGTAGAATTCAGGTCTGGTCTGGCTGACTGTGAGCCTCTTCCTCTCTGCCATCCTCTCGCTACCATCCCTCCTGCTGGTTGATAACTGAGCCTTTGAAGTCTTCCAGATACGTTGTTCTGCATGCTGGATTTGCACGCTGGGCTATGTATAAATGGAATTTTGCTGAATGCTCCAAGGGGCCGGCGCTCCCTGCCCAGCAGAGAAGCCTTTTGTAAAATTGCACAAGTGCCTGTGGCATATTTCTGGAATTTTCGGCCAGAAGCAGTGTTGAGCCCTGCCAGTTGCTGGATCCCTGGCTGGTGAAGGAGAACGCTGCATAGATTTCCTAAGGCAGCCCCTTGGTATTCAGCGTTGGGTAGGGGTGAGCAGTAGGATTCTCTTGGAGAAATAAAATTGAATATAAAGTTTACACATAGCAGATTTCTCTCCCATGGGATTTCTAACAGTCCTTTACTTTGCTCCCCAAAAGGGACATCTCAGAC